TGAGCATGGAGTCCATTTTCTTCGTAGTACTTTTGGCCAGGAGGAAAAGGCTCATTATGTAAGACGTGACCGCCTGGAAAACCGCTTTAAGTAACACTTCTTTTCCTCCTGGAGACAGCAGGAGGCTCTTCCAGGCTTCTCCTTTAGACTCCATTCGTTGCACAAGGAATTGGAATGTTTCTTTCTTAGATCTTCCCCATTCGGTTGGTACTCCCAGATAGTTGGAGTGACAAGGGGTAGCAGCAAACCCCGCGCTACTCACAATCCTAGCCTGTTCATCACTTGGAACGTTGCAGCTGAAGAACAAGGAAGACTTGTTCCTGTTAACCTCTTGACCAGTAACCGCTCCATAATGGTTGAGAATGGTCAAGATCTTGTCCGCCTCCTCACATGTAGCCTCCCCGAAGATCACAGTATCATCTGCGAACAGGCCGTGAGAGAGAACAGGGCAATGTCTGTTAAGTTTTATCCCCTTGATCCCATTGCTCAGAATAGATTTCTCGATCAGAAAAGACAAAGCATTCGACATGAGGACAAAGAGGAGGGGTGACAAGGGGTCCCCTTGTCGAATGCCTCTAGATGGTGTGAACTCACTCGATGGCTCCCCATTCAGGAGAAGGCTGAACGTGACAGTCTTAATACATGCAGCCACCCAACTGCACCATTCATCACAAAATCCATATGCTTTTAACAGGGATAGGAGAAGGTCCCATTCAACCATGTCGTAAGCCTTCTTCATGTCCAGTTTCATCATCATTTCCTTCTTCTTTCCTGTTTTTCGTTTCTTGAAGTGATTTAGTACTTCGTGAACAATGATGATATTGTCTTGAATCTGTCTTCCTCCTGTGAAGGCAGACTGAAGCTCGTTAACCAGATCAGGCAATAAGGGTTGTAGTCTATTAGTCATTATTTTGGTGATGACTTTATAACGGAAATTGCAACAACTTATTGGTCTGAACTGGCTAATCTCCTCAGGGGAATCCACTTTGGGAATAATAGTGATAAAAGTCTTGTTCCAATTCTCCGGCATGATCCCTGATTGAAAGAAGGTGGAAATCTCGTGACAGAACGAATCCCCCACTGTGTTCCAGTACTTTCGAAAGAACAGGCCCTGATAACCATCTGGTCCAGGAGCTTTGGAAGCCCCCAACTGAAAAACAGCCCTGCGAATTTCCTCCTTCTCCACTACAGAGCACAATTCAAAGTTACTATCCTCATTCACCAGCCTAGGAAAACCTTCCAGAATATTTGGATCAAACACTCTGTTGCTAGAGGTGAAGAGATTAATATAGAAACCCTTAGCGAGGTCTCTCAAATCCTGAGCATTGTCAATCCAAACCCCTTCTTCATTTCTTAGCTTTCCTATCCGATTTCTGTTTTTCCTTCTAATGGTAGATGCGTGGAAAAACCCGGAATTCTGATCCCCTTCTTGGAGCCAGTTGATTCTCGATCTTTGAAGCCAGAAGCTTTCTTCTGAATTCCAAAGCAGCTCAAGTTCCTGATGAAGGCTTCTCTCTTCACCCACTAAATCAGGGCCATCTCTGTTCCCTTGTAGAAATTGTAGTCTCTTTCTGATTTCCCCTTCTCGTTTCAGTTTAGCTCGCCTGTCCGTTCTGGCCCAACTCTGTAATTCCTGCTGGCAATCCCTGAGCATAGAGTCAATCTTGCCCCCTCTCGCCCATCGATAAGTGATAATTTTGTTACACTCTTCACTTTCCCTCCACCTCTTATCAAACCTGAATGGTGTACAGTGTTCCCGAGCAGCAGGGTGGAGGCCAATCCGAATCGGACAATGATCTGACTCCACAAAATCCTCGTGATAGACCATGGCCGATTCAAACAGAGTCCTCCACGAAGTCGAACATAAGGCTCGATCAAGCCTTTCACGGATTAGATCATCTCCTTGTTGCTTGTTACTCCAAGTAAACACTTGGCCTGAGAACCCTAAATCAACTAGTGCATTCCGAGACATGAAATACTTGAAAGGAGATACATTCTCATTTCGAAGGGGGCATCTCCCCTGCTTCTCAAAAGGGAAAACGGCGACATTCAAGTCCCCTACAATCAACCATTTTTCTTCTTGATTCTGCCTGAGGGACGTGAGTCGATCCCAAAAAAGACGTCTCTCTACCACCGTGGTAGGAGCGTGAACAAAGGTGCAGAAAAAACTAACTCCAGCCTTGCTAATGCTGGTATCCATGTAGAACTTACACGAATCTAACACAGTAACACTAACATCATCCTTCCACCAAAGGGTGAGGCCACTTCCTTCAACCTCTGGGCTAACATACTTCGAATGCTCGAACTTCATCATATTCCTTCTTGCTTCCATAAACGATTCCTCCTTCCTTGTTTCCATGAGAAAGAGAATCGAAGGCCCAAATTGCCGGCACAGCCTGCCGCAATAACTTCTTGTAAGGGGTTGGCCGAACCCCCTACAATTCCAGCTTAGGATCCTCATTCGAGATGAGGCGGCTTGAGGCTTGCCGCCGCTGCCCTCGGAGTGGTGGACTCCCCTTCTCCGGACTGGCATCCTTCCGCCGTGAGCTCTGCCAAACTCTTCCTCCTGACAATGTTTCTCCTTCTCTGATAAGTCCTTTTGCTTTCCCCTGGAACAAAAGACATAGAGCTGAAAGAAATGTTAGAAGGGGCCTCCTGTGGAGACGAGGCCGCGGGACTGGTTCCATGGTCAGGCTTCCTTTTCTTCTCTGGCCTGGGCTGTTCCACTTCAGATGGGGCTCCAGAAGGGTCATTGAGCAGCTCACTTGGATGGGCTTGATAAATGTTGACAGGGGTGGTATTGACTTGGCTTGGATGGGCTGGCATTTCCGGGCCCCTTTGGGCTTCAGTACGGTTCAGAGTTGGGCCGCCCAGGGACAACGATTGGCCCATCTCAAAAAGACCCGCCCATTTCTCTCTGTTGGTTTCCTTCTCTCCTAGGTCGAGGCTGCGCTGCATTGCTCTGGTTGTCTTCTCCATCTCCATCTCTAGCAGTGCAGTCTGTATGATAGGGGTCTGATTGCTGGCCTCTCCTCTGTGCACCCAGTCTGGTTCCCTGCCACTGGCTGTCAGGCTGTTGTACCCTGGCTGGGTAACAAAAGGTCCCAAAATTGGGAGACCCGCTAGAGTTATCCTCGATGGTTCACCTCGGTTGCCGCGCCCTTGCTGCATTGCCGGTGCGGGAAGTGCCTGACGTCTGGCCCTCGCTTGCTTCTCCCTGAACGACGCTGGTGGAGTATTCGCCGGTGAATCATGTCCAGCCCTCAGTGCGTCGGTGTAGACTTCAGATGGGTCGGTGCTGAGTCCCAATCTTCTATGCTCTTCCCTTTCATGGCAGTTGTGGATTAAATGGCCTAGTCTTCCGCAAAAGTAACAAAGATCCATTATCCTTTCATATTTGAAGCTGATCCAGATGGAGTTGTCCCCAATGGGGTACTCGAAACCAATTGGGAGTGGCTCGTCAATGCTTACTTCCACCTTGACTCTGATAAATTTCAGCCAGCCTCTAAAGTCAAAATTAGAGTGGTCCACACAATGGAACTGGGGGAAGATGAAGCTCGCTACTGCCTGGACAGCTTCTTCATCTTTGAGTGATTGAGGCAAATCATGCATTTGGACCCATAGGGTGACTGTTGGAATATCCTTTGGCTCCGCCTTCTGTTCTCCATCCCATTTCTTCAGAGCTATCACTGTGTTGCTCAGGTTCCATGGTCTAGCCTCCCAGACAGCATCCCTTTGTTGAGTCGACTGGAAGGAATAGACGAATAGGTTCTCGGCTTCCTTCGTTGTTTGCACCTCTCCATATGCCCTCCATTTGTTCACCGCCGCATTCCGTGCTTTTGGGAGGTTGATGCTGGTGTCGGTGATCCACTTCCCCAGGAGCATTGCCATCCCACTCCCTCGAGCACCCACTACTGTAGGTCTCACATTAAGGACGAGGTGACTCCTCTCCCCCTCTTAGGCTATTGTACTGGGTTTCCATATTTGGGTGGCTGGTAGTTTTTTTAGAGGTTGGGGACCGGAAGTATTTTGGGTCAGGAATCACTTTGTTGGAAGATCTGCTGGTGATCTGGATTGAGCTAGAAATGAGTGATTGATGTCTAGCTTTCTCCTCCCTTAAATAGGCGATTTCCCCCCGTGTACGACTCCTGGAGTGCCTCATGGGTTCGGTGTGCCTGCTGCGTATTAAATTCCCTCTGATTGTTCTTTCTTCAGTAACTTCCCCTGTCCTCCGATACGATTCATGGCATTTATGGCGGCAGCCATCAGCAACTCTAACTCCCCCTACGATATCTCCCCTTCTTATTTGCTCTTTGCGTGTAGCTTTCGGCGGGCAGTTGAGCACAGCGCCTTTAATCCATCCTTCCTCTCTATCTGGGCATTTACTTCCCTGGGCTCTCATGATTGGTTGGCAGCCTTCCCTTGTCACTAGATAGATAGATACTTTTTAGATCCGAACTCATACTAATAGTTGGAACACGGGTTGGCCGGGTTCTACGGTTGTGTAATCCAAAATCCAAACCCAACCTAAAAAAGGCGGGTTGTACAAAAGAAAACCTTCACCCAACCCAAAACCTTCGTTTTAGCGATAAATACGGGTGGGTTGGGTCGGGTTGGACGGGTGGGTCGGGTTGCGTGTGTATTTGTTCACCCCTAATAGTGACCACGAATGAAATTAAATATTTGTAGTGATCAATCATTAACGTTTTTAATAAAAATAATGACCAACCTTGCAATTAACCCCTATTTGATGACTAGTTGAAGAATCAAATCATTTTATAGGTTACTAAGCATCCCATCTGTCACCTATCCAACTTAACAAAAATAAAAGTTTTGTTTACGAACACTGAATCACAATTTCAGAGTTGATGAATCAATCTGAAACTAATATCCACCCCGCCCCGCGTTTTCGTTTTCACTCTTCACAATTCACACCACAATGAGTTGAATTTTCTCTTAAGTAGTTGTTGATAAGCGACAATGAAGTCTCTTAAAGGTACGACTTTTGTCCCTTATAAACTCCCCCTATCCCCTTCTTCTTTCTTCGTCTCCCTCTCCCGCCGGAGAATTTTTCTTCCTTTCCCATACAAAGGCAGGACCGCCAATTCGGAGGGAGAGTCGACACTTGCAAAGCTCATCTTGTTTTTCTTTTTTTTTTGCTTTTGTCTCCCATGGCTTCTCGTAGCTATGGCGCTTATTCTTCTCCCCCGTGGTTACTGTCTGCGGCGATCTATGCTTTGCTGTTTGGGTTCCCCTGTTCTGCCTTGGGAACGATCGGGTTCGATTTCCACCACCGCTACTCCGATCCCGTCAAAGGGATGTTGACCGTCGACGATTTGCCGGAGAAAGGAACTCCCCACTACTACGCCGCTATGTCCCACCGCGACCGCGTTAACTGGGCGAGTGGGTCCCGCGGTCGTGGCCTCCTCGATCAAACTTCCACGCCGCCTCAGACGCAGCTCACTTTCTCCGACGGCAACGAGACTTACCGCCTTAATTCCTTGGGATAGTACGTTTCCTCTCTTCTTCCCGTTTTCCCCCTTGTTTTTGGGGGATTTGTAACTGAGCTTTGTTTTTCTTCTCAAGAGTTACTGTCTGGAATTTTACGTTTTGTTTGGCTTCTGGGGAAGTTAGGAGAAGAGAATGATGGCTGCCGGACTTGTTTGGTCGCTCGCACCGCACGTATCTGTTCCTTCAGTTTCCTTGGCTTTCTTTCATTCGCGTTTTAAATTCTATCTTTTTGTGTCATTTCCCTTCAATTTCGGAAACGCCATTTCCACACCCTAATTTTCTCAGCAACCACACAATCCTAATTTCCCACCTTCTGATCTCCTTAAATTAATGATGTTTCGTCCCTTCGCAGCTTGCATTACGCCAACGTTTCAGTTGGAACGCCAAGCGTGTCGTTTCTGGTGGCACTCGACACTGGCAGCGATCTCTTCTGGTTGCCCTGCGATTGCGAGAGCTGCGTTCGTGGCCTGCAGAGCTCATCTGGGCAGGTCTCAGTTCCTATTCACCATTTTTTTTTTAGATTAAAATACTTCTCCTGAAATCCTTACACATGTTCCTCCTGTTATGTTAGTATCTGACATCTCAAAACCCTTCTCTTCTTTTTCTACAGAAAATTGACTTCAATATTTACAGTCCAAACACGTCGTCCTCGAGCGGAAGTGTCCCCTGCAGCAACAGCTTGTGCCCGCTTCAAGGACAATGCCCTACGCCGCAGACCGATTGCAGGTATCAGGTTGAATATCTTGATAATGGCACTTCATCAACTGGAGTCCTGGTTGAGGATGTGCTGCACTTGACACCAGACGCTACCCCCTCCAAATCATCGAAACTAGTGGAAGCAAAGATTACATTTGGGTAAGAGAGCCAACGAACCAACCAGCTGGTTTTCTTCTACTGCTCTTCTTTAAATGAACTTTGTTGTTTGTTGCAGTTGTGGCCAGGTTGAGACAGGCTCGTTTCTAAATGGGGCAGCTCCCAATGGCTTGTTTGGTCTTGGGATGTCCAATATATCAGTTCCCAGTACTTTGGCAAAGGAAGGGTACACTTCCAATTCTTTCTCCATGTGTTTTGGAGAAGATGGGCTCGGGCGAATCAGCTTTGGAGATTCAGGAGGAAGTTCAGATCAAGGAGAGACGCCTTTCAATCTTAGAAGCTTACAGTAATTAACTCATTCCTATTTGCTTACTGATTCAAATCAGAGATGAACTCCCATCTTGTTTTGGTGGCTGATCCTTCCTGTTTTCTTTGTAACAGCCCCACTTACAACATTAGCATCACTCAGACGGTAGTGGGAGGAAACTCTGAGGATGTTGAGTTTTCAGCAATCTTTGACACGGGCACCTCGTTTACGTACTTGAATGATCCTGCTTACTCTGTTATAACTCAGAACGTGGGTACATGACTGATCAAGCATTGAATATGTACTCTATTCGTTTTTGGGAGATTGCTTGCCAGTTAATTAATGCTTGCATTTGCAGTTTGACAGTTTGACTAAAGACCTGCGACATTCATCATCTTCTACTAGTAATCTCCCTTTTGAGTATTGTTACGACATAAGGTCCGTGTTCAATACATACATTTTGCTCTTCTTTGCCTGAACCGGCTTTATTTCCTGAGGATGCGGTTTTTCCTTATTCTTTTGTGGTGGTTTTGGTAACTTGCAGCTCAAACCAGACCGAGGTGCCCACGCTCGACCTAATAATGAAGGGCGGAGATTACTTTAACGTGACTGACCCTCTGGTATATGTGAATCTTCAGGTGATAACATGGGGAGGCCTATTAATTTGCATCTCGATTCTTTCTTCTTATTATTATTATGGTAACATTCACTTATACGAGTTTGGTGTTGTCAAAATGCTGCAGAATGGCGGCCTTCTCTACTGCCTAGGACTGGTGAAGAGTGGTAATGTCAACATCATCGGACGTGAGTGTCACTATCTTTGGTTCGGACTCGTCTCTTCAACCTTGAGATTCTTATTGAGTTCTTCATCGTGTCTTTCTACAGAGAACTTCATGACTGGTTATCGGATAATCTTTGATCGGGACAGGAATGTTTTGGGTTGGAAATCATCAAATTGTGAGTCTTGATGATGATATACTCATCTGGATTTCTTAAGGGAAAAAACATTTTCCTGATGTTCAGTGTACTTAACTCAGGCTGTTGCATATCTACGCAGGTTACACCAAAGAGAGTTCCAACACCTTACCAATCGGCCCCACAGATTCTTCCATGGTGCCACCGGCTACAGCAGTGAACCCAGAAGCCACTGATGCTGGCGGGAACAATACCAGTGCATCTGGATCCGGACAACGGAATAATTCACCACGAAAACTTGTGTTGTTTAGATTTAGGGTCGTCACAGCTGTTATTTGCTTGATGTTATTCTTCACTGTTTGATTCTTCCTTTCACCTATTGTTATCTTTTCGGTGGTGTCTACATTTAGAGTGCACACACGGTACACAGCAGTTATAGGCATTTCGTTTCTGGTTTAGCTCAGGAAGCAGGCAATGTTAGCTAGCTCCTTTTTACCTGTATTGTTGATTCACAATAGAGCTACTTTGAATACAATCTGCCATATGTTCTGCTCCACTGTAATAAGACATTTTATAAAAGTTTGAAAGTCACAAAATTTCCCTTCAGGTTCTGTGCATCAAAACAACATTGCAAAACCGATACCATATCGAAAAGTCTGCTAGACAGACAAAATTACAGCCAAATATATGATGCCCTTTTCTTCAATAGAAAAGGATTCAACGACTCATCATCTTGTTTTGGTTTTCTTCTTTACTGACTGAACAAGCTTCGAGTGCCCCACTGTCCCACTCTCCGTGCGTTTCAACTTCATCGACTTGTGTTCTTTCTTTGATGCCTTGCTGTTGGGAGGCTGCTCGAGTTGTTTCGACTTCATCTTAATGGACTTCACCAAAGAGGATAGCTCGTGCTTCACTTTCTGTGGTGACAGATTATTCAAGTTTTTCGGTTGTTCATCAGATGTTGTTTCCGAGTCAGCAGGAATTGACTGCGCCTGGTCACCTTTCCGCTGCTGCTTCTCCATTTGCTTGGCATAGGCAGCACTCCTGGAGCAGTTCCATGTTCGAACACGCCAAATATAAGAGTCCAACAATGCAACATAAAAGCCATAATAAACTATGCGATGCACAAAAGGCATTGAAAAGATCATTACCTCTTGAACTGTGGATCTGTTGGATCTAATGCAAAGAGAGGCGACTTAAAGAAGGACGAAAATCGTGGGTCATCATAATCAACTGCAGGTAGCTTCTTGCCCTTGTCTGGAACTTCTTTGCCCTTCTTAGCGTTCTTAGATTTCTTTGGTTTCAGATTATACCCTTTAGGTCCATCATCAGTCCCCTTATCATCGGCAAGTAGTAACTCTAGCTCAGCTGTTGTTGCTGCTTCTTCGGACACCTCGTTCTCATTTTCCTTTCTCGACTTTTTTCCTTTCTTACCTTTGGCCTGAGCAACACCCTTCTTGGAACCTTTATCATCAGCTGATGGCCCCTGAACAAAGAAGTCATCTGCATTTTCTACACCTATGGCATCATCATCACTACTACTTTCTTCATCTGATGAATACTTTGACTTGGATTTCTGTTTGCGAGCAGCCTTCTTTTCTTTTCTCTTTCTTAGGTACTCTTCCCATACAGTTCTTGATTTCTTGTCCTTCTTTTCCATAAAGCGCTTGCTCAAGTTCTCCAAGCCTGCGTTGAAGGTAACCTCCATGTCCTGCCCTTCCTCCTCCTCATCTTCATCTGAACCATCACCTGACTGGATTAGAGCCCTGTACTGGTCTCCCTTGCTGTGCTTTTTACTCGAATGATTGTCTGCATCATCCTCATTTTCATCACTTTCACCCTCGTCGGAAGCTAAAAATTCCTGTAACTCCTTATCATCTACCTGTAATTTGGAGAGAAGGAAATAGTTAGACAAAGGGCAGATGTGGACAGCTCATCATTTTGATCACAAGCTCTTAATTATCAATGAAAAAGAAAATTGAAAACAAAATCAATGATGCAGAATCTGTAGGGTAGCATATTCAGTTCTTTAGAAAGAGCTGTCTGTTTACCTGATCAGCATTAAATTTTCGTTTCAAGGTCTTCACACGCTGAGGTTCATCTTCATCCCAGGAAATGGGTATGTTGCTGTGCTGCAAAGCTTTAGTGTGGAAGTCTATTCCATCATAACTACTAGGTGCCTGTTCAAGAAGGGATCAGTGGGACTTGGAACTATCATCCTTTCATTTTGTGAAGAAGATTACCAAAATACAATACTAGAGAATTCATTGCTGCTGATCAAAGATATGATCAGGGACTGACCACCTGATGCCTTATCATAACCCACCCAAATCATTTAGATAAAGTGCGTCAATCATTTAATAAATTCACTTGAGCATACTTCTTATAAAATCTTTATCAGCATTAGACAAGTAACAAATTACCTCGGTTGCAATGTCACGTGGTGGATGCTTAAATTCCATAGAATCAGGAATGAATCTCAAATCAAGCACATTGGAAGATCTCTCAAACTCAACCCCATCACAAACATTGTAAAGGTACTCAGCGGTTGCAATTGAATCACATTCCACCACAGCAAAGTAATACCTGATAATGATGTGCAATTGGTTGAGAAAAGCAGGAAGTATCAAGTATCAAATACCACCAACAAATCATGAAAAATTACAATGAAAACAAATGGTTATCTTCTCAGATTACCTCAGCCTAGTTTTCTCATAAGCACGTAGCTTCTCCTCGTCTATCTCATCAGTACTGTCATCATCCTCATTGTTTTCTTCATCGTCAAATAAGCCAACAGGACCGTGAACTTCCTCTTCTTTCATCCGCTCAAGTCCAAATTCTGAAGGATATACAGCTACCGACGAGATTACCCCACCACTGGGAAGAAAGGAACGCAGTACTACAAAAAGATCAGCAGCCTGTTTATCCAACCAAGCAAACATATAATTAATAACACGATGTAAACCACAAATGAAAAAACAACACGAGCTTAGCTCTCTCCCAATAATAGTAAGGTTCGTGTACACAATTAACCACAAAGACAGGCATGCTTCACATGTTAGCTATGAAAGCAGGTCCTTGGTTTGCTTAATATAATAGCATACATACCCTGACATGCCTCCAATCCATATTAACAGCAGCAAGCCTTCTGGTCCCATCTTCAACAATCGGTACATTCTCCACCTGTTGCACATCAAACCAAAATGCATGTCAGAAAGGAAGTGCATAGACAGAAACTCTTAATAAAAGCAGAATGGAACAGTCATGAGATAAAAATGGATGGTAGTTACGAAGCTCATAGCAAATGACAAGGATGATCACCTCAACTTGAGCTGAATCATCCTCAAAAAGAACCCCAGCTGCTGCATCTTCTTCATCAGTCGTAGAGCCATCTTCAGCATCATCTACTTCGTCATCATCCGAATCCTCTGCCGCCTCAGCCTCGCTACTGGACTCGCTTCCGGCGAGAACCGGCTTTTTTGGTTCCTCCTTCTCACTTTCTTCTTCCTCACTTTCAATTTCTTTCAATTTTCCTTCTCCTTTCTCTTCATCTTCCTCAATATGATCATCAGCCTCGCTACTGGACCCGCTTCCGGCAGCAACGAGAACCGGCTTCTTTGGTTCGTCCTTCTCACTTTCTTCTTCCTCGCTTTTGATTTCATTCAATTTTCCATCTCCTTTCTCTTCACCTTCCTCAACATGATAATAATGGCGAAACAAACTCTTGGAGTCCTGCTTCTTCCGCCTGCCACGCTTGTCTAAATTTGTGGAGGAGCCACCGAAATTCTTGTCGGTGAACATGCGTTTGAATCTGGAATCGATAGCAACCTTCGTCTTGCGCTGCGGAACCTTCTGGAACCGAGGGTCAGTGTGAGCCATGGCAAACCGAGGATCTGAAACCATCTCGCCGCCTGTTGCAGCTCTACCATTGCTGTCCAAGCCTGAGGTTTGTTTCTTTTTCTTATCGCTTTTCATCGTCTTCTTATTTTGCTCAGAGGGCGGAGGAGGGCGGCTCGACATCTTCTCTGAAGTTCGAATACGAATAGAGTTGGAAATCGACGGAAGCCACAAAGCCAGGGAGGCAACTGTTACGTACTGTGACGAAGTCACCTGACGGGGATGTAGGAGGCGATTTGCGGCGGGATGGTGGCTTCTTCTTCTTCTTCTTCTTCTTGGGAGGGTGACGGGTAATGTGCCGAGGTCAAAGAGAGAAGTAGGAGTGAGAGGGAGAAAACATTTACAGAATGATTAAGAGCGAAAAGCAGAGTAGATACAAAAATTTTGTTCTTGTTTTTGTTCCAGAGGAGATCGAGAGGGAATAAGAGGAAGGAGAGGCGGCATAGGTTTGGACTTTGGAGAGATCGAGAAGGGTCTCTGGAAATTAGAGATTAGGGTTAGGCTTTGGGCTCCTCCTGCGCTTTGGGATCGGCTGCAAACTTTGGGTTGTGCTGGGTTGCTAGCGGGCTTGATTATGGGCTAGAGTGAGTTTAGTTTGGACCGGTTGGTGTGCACTATAACCGCAAACTGGATTGGATGGGTGGTAATCCGGTTTCCGGTTGCAACCACAAAGGTTTAAACTGCCCGGTTTTCGATTTGACCGTACAATTGGAACCGGATTCCCAGCCCTAGTACTGTCAATCGAGTCTCTCCTCTATACTCTCTAGGGTTGGGGTTTGGGAATGGGTGGCTGGGCTGGGGTTGGCAGTGAGGATTACTGGAGTGGGATGGGCTGAGCTGGAGCCTGGCATTTAGAGGCTTTTTTCTCCGTTGAACTACGCATTTCTTTTCGATTTTGGTTTCCTAAAGCACTTTAGGCTAGGAATGGTAATGGACAGGTCCGGGTGGGATCTTGATACCCATACCCGTCCCATGACAGGTCGGGTCCAGGTAGGATAATTTATCATGGGGCGCGGGTCGAGGCAGGCCGACCTAATGAGTATGTAATTTATGCGAAAAATATTAGAAATATTGGTTATTTTCATTAAAAGACCAAGAAAGAACGATAATATGATAAAATGTAGTTAAATTATTGAAGAAATTGAGGTTTTCACTTATTTACAACTTTATTATAGCTAAAATATAATGTAATAAGAGGAAAATTCTAAGTAATTTGATTAAGATTACATGTAATTTAGGCAAGAACGGGTCGAGAATGGGGCGGGTTAGGGCACTTCAGGTCGATGAGACGTACCCATGCCCTCCCCGCCCCGCCCCAAGATAGGTCAAAAAGGTCGGTTGAATCAGATCAGGTCGAAATTGTCATCCCTACTTTAGGCCAATACTAACGCTATTTCTGATTGTTCCACGCAGTAAATGATGTGGCAATGGGTGGGATTTTATAAAGCCAAACCCAACCCATTAACCATTTAAACCGGCCAGCCCAAAGCGGCCCATTCATACAAATTAATGTGAATGGTTTCCGTTAATTCGAAAGTTCCGTTAGTTTCTATGTTGGTAAGTTTTTGTATTTATCATTATCTTAAAAATTATTAAAATATTTTTTTACCCATTTCATATATGCATCCATCTAGGATGTCAACAAAACCCGAACCCGCGGGTGCTCTACCCGACCCAATCCAGTCAACACGGGTAAAACTCGTATTGACAGGTTTCAAGCTGGTTTTGGTTTAAACCCGATACACTTTCACCGAGTTGGGTTGAATTTGAGTTTAGGGATACCTAATTCATGAATATCCGCTCACCCTTATTCCGTCGCCTACTTTCTCCAAACCCTATCCTAATTCTAATTTTCCCAATCTAATTTACAATTTGTATGAATAATTTGTAATTTGTTTGAATTTTCTAGATTGGTATTTTATGTATGGATAAATTCATGGGTTTGAGTTTGGGTTTGGCAAAACCCAACCCTTTGACATCCCTACACCCATCTATAGCAATGGAGTTTGCTGGGGAACAAGGATTCTAGATTGGGACAAAATGAATTGCCAAAGGTGGGTGTATTGTTGTGGGGCTGGCAACTGGTGGTCGTCTGGTCGACTGGAGTGTGACATAGATTCATGGATTCAAGATAGGAGGGTCGTGAGAAGAGCGGCGATGAGAGACATCAACGCCGCCGCAAAACTGAAGAGTCGATGATGATCTCTCTTTAGAGACTGGCGCGGGGAGTTGGGTAATGTTGCTCCTCTTATTATCGTCCGATTTACGACGATGGGCATCTGGAGTGTGATACAACGACTTCAGCGGCAGATCTATCACACATAAGAGCACTGAGCCACATTTCATTATTAAATTAAACCGAAAAAATATAGTGACTATAGTTTTTTTACAATGTCAATTGTACACAACAGTATTTTAATGTAGCGAATGCATCAATAATGAAGTCCACATCCATACCAATAATATGCAATGTTTTAAATAAAATATTTGAGCAATCGACGAGAAATTCATCGTTCATTTTTTCACGCAAATAAGTTTTCACATGTTTCATTGTTGAAAAAGTTCTCTCTGTAGTAGTTGTTGAAACGAGGAGCGTCAATACTAGACAAATCAATCGACTAATCAATTTGCATTGTGTGTCCATCCCTACATCCACCAGCTGCTCTAGTAAATTTTCAAGGGAACAAACCTCATATTTTTTTTTAGTCTTTTACGTTTTAGACTTTTAGAATTATTGATTTTAATGTTTTTTTAGACGAATAATCTTTGGGGCTGGAACTTCTAGGCTAAATTTAGACTAGTGATTTGATTATGTTCATCTGAATCATTTTTCTAGTTATACACAATCTTATTATAAAATAACATTGTGCAGAATGGATAAAATCGAAAAATTTATAAGTACTATACTAACACCAGATCTAGAGGAGTGTTGGGCCGGGGCCCGGGGTGGCCACCCCCTGGATCCGCCATTGAGCGGCTTGGATTCGGAACACTGTGCTAGCGCGGGGACCGGTAGGCGAGATGTGTATGCTGCCGAGGCCACTGAAGGAGACGATCTAGCGGCCGGAGGAGCTGAGACCTGCTGCCAACGAGAAGAGTGCGATGTCGAGCATAATTATAGAGAGTGGAGTTCGCCGGACCCGTTTTTCCTTTTCATCGTCGGGCGGAGCCAACAATCGAGGAAGACGACCCTTGTGTTTGCCTTTCCTTCTCTTTTATGGAAAAAATAACAAATACCATAATGCGTGTGCGGAGATGGAGACGTTATTTTGTCCCTTTAACCAGTTGTGGTTTAGGCAGTTACCGGATTATAAGTGGACCCAACCCGTGCCACATCACATGCCATGTGGCCCAATTAGAAGTGGCGGCAACGGTGCCGCACTTTTATCGGCGGCACCATAGTATTGGCCAACACTTTATGGGTCAAAACTCAAAAGTGTAACACTTGTACACCATACAGATGAATTTATGAGATGTGACTTGGGATCAAGAAATTGTATAATGGGTACACACGAGTTACCAGTTAATACCCGTTTGGGTATTACGGATACCCATACTACCCGCCCAAAATAAACAAACAAAATTGGGTCATTTTTGTAATTCTTGTTAGGTTGTCGTTTACCAGGCAAATTAGATTAGTTGAGTTAATAGCTAGAAGTAGTCGTGGGGAAATCAGGAGCTGGGTTAGTGGGTAACAAATGAGGGAAAAATTGCAGCCTTATTAAAGCTGAACCGAGTCGGTCGCTCGGATAGGTAAAATTGGCACCCGACTATCAACCCGATTCGAAACAGTCCAAAAACCACAGCGGTTAGAAAGGTCAGTCGACATACGGTCGAAGTGGTTAACCGCTCCATCCGCTCGAACTGTCTGACCGACTTTTGACAATCGACATCCACCTCTCAGCCACACTCTGGATATGCTTCGATTCGTTTATTCGATTGAGATATGCTCCTTCATCGAAGAATATGAAGGATCTTTTGCTTTATATTTATACTTACTAAGATGGAGAAGATAATGAGATTTTGCCTTTTAGATTCATATGGATTGGAGTAAGGGATGAGTGACTGCCTAAAGATGGAGAATAGAAGGAGAGAAGATTGATCGAGAGAGTGGGAGAAGTTAGTTTTTTTTTCAAAGAGAAGGGATGAACACAGAAAATGGATTTGGAGAGAGGGATGAGAAGGGGGCATACTGTGGCCGCCTATGTGGGTAGATTCTATAAATCTCATCATTAAGATCTATTTAATTAGAAACAACAATTGACGGTCATGATTCGTCCATATATAGGCAACAAATACATGCACAATCTTAGGGGTTAGGTTCTATGATTTTGAAAACTAAGACTCAGAGTTCACTCATCAAGGATTAGGGTATAGTATCATGCCCCAAAATCCTATTAATTCGTGGTCTAGATAGCATTTTCTTACTCAGAGTATGTCGTACCCTAGATTTTACCCAATGTACGATAGAAGTAACCACATATATATATGGGGAGTTCTATGGTACCCAGAGTGAAATCCGGGGTACCGCATACCTTGAGTAAGAAAACGCTATCCAGAACTTGAATTGAATGATCTTTCAGACATGATACTATACTCTAACCCTTAAAGATCAAAATCTAGGTCTTAATTCTCTAACTCTTATAACCCAAGATCAATTTAATCAGAAACCATAATCGACGGTTATGAGCGTTCAAATATAGGCAAAAAAATCAATGCACCATCTTAGGGTTTATAGTTTATGATTTAGATAATTAGGACCTAGGGTTCACTCATTAAGGTTAGGGTATAGTATCATGCCCAAAATTTTTGCTAATTCGAGGTCTAGATAGCGTTTTCATACTCAAGGTATGCGGTACCCCGGATTTCACCCGAGGTATGACATATAGTTTTTAATGTACCGGTTTTCTAAAGGGTTTTTAATGATCCACTACCTGTTGGACCACTAATGTTCGAGCCATTCATATTACTGGGTCATGCTCTGGTTCTGTTTTGACAACATTTGCATTTTGCCTTCACTCAAGCCGTCTCTGTTTCCTAAATTTTGTTCCCATACCTATCTAAGTTGGTTTTCCACAATCTCGCATCTCCAATCAATTCTAGATAGTAAAGTTTTATTTTACAATAAAAAATACATTGATTACTTTATGCTAATCATCAACTAATTTGTAAGTTATTTTGAGAATGTCCATGAGTGAACTCAATTGCAAGATGCAAAGAGAAAGCTTGATTTCTTTTTAGTTTTAATGATGATGGGTAGTAACGAAACATTACAACTCTTACTACTATCATTTTCTTTGGATTTTTTATTTGGGTAAATAGCATTTTGTACCCCTCTATTATTGTAAAATAACAAATATACCCGTATACTAAATTTTTGCACAACCATAGCCTTATAATATTAAAACTTAACAAGTATACTCCTCCATCTAATTTTTTGTTAATTGACCATTAAAAGGATTAAAAAATTACCCAAATAACCTCATTCATTTTGATTTTTATCATTTTTTTATCACAAGTCACAGCCCAATT